CTAAATTCTCAATGTTATAAATAAGGAGGATTTTAAAAATTGTTTCCTTCTAGTATATAAGAGAGGCCTGAAAACAAGTATGAGCCCACCTGCTTCCCTTCCCTACAAGAGACCTTCAAGAACCACCACGGAACAAAAGAAATCAAGATTATGCCAGAGTCCAAGTCAGATTCAGAAAGGGAGCAATTGTAAAACCAAAAGCCAAAATAAACTGCAAAAAGAGACACTGGTATGGAGATGGTTGTAAGTTATTATTGACAGAATGCTAGCGATGTGCTAAATACTCAACTACAAATGGGAGTAAATGTTAACAAGCTCGCACACGAACACACGCTGTACTCAGGTCATGATCTAGAACAGGGGTGCTCAATCCCAGACCCATGAGCCAAATCCAGCCTGCAGGGACCAAATCCAGCTCAGAGCCATGGCATCTGGCCCACAGGTCTCCCCATGAGTCAGGAAATTTAGCACTGGGCAAGCAGTAGCAATTAATACTACTACCCTTCCCCCACTGTCAAAATTCCCAAGCCCCATGCAGCTGTGTAAGAGCCTGGTCACATCCCCACCCCAGCATGAGGCCAGATTAGGGCGAGCCTACTTCTACTTCCCCACAAGGCCAGATCATAGCCGGGCCATGCCCCTTCCCATGGAGGTCAAATCAGGGTCAGGCCATGCTCCCTCCTCTCCCATACAGCTGAATCAAGGTTGGGCTTCCCCCACCCTCCTGCCCCCGCACCAGATACAACCCGTGGACAAACCACGCACCACCCAGCCAGCCCATGGAAAAAAAGATCGAGCACTGTTGAGTCCCCTGTTGATCTAGACTCACGTACTGTGTGCAGAGGTGTAACTAGAAATTTCGGCACCCTGGACAAGGAGGTCAAAGAGTGGTGTGGGATTGTGCCAGCTACAAGAGTTTTACCTGATCCCAGAGACTCAAAGCTCCCAGCTATAGGTGTAGCAGCATGGGCTCCCCCCGAGACATGGACTACTGCTGTTGCCACCATTTTGGCAACCCTTCTAAATCAGCAGCTGGGGCTGATTTTTTTTTTTTGGTGTCCTGCTTGCCTCCCCCTAGTTACTCTACTGACTGCATGTACGTAGACCAGAAAGGGTAGTCATCACTGAAAGGTTTTTGGATTGGTGGGTATTTTCAGAGGAATCAGAAACTAAAAAAGGGGATTCCAAGACAAGGGAGCAGCACAGAAAAAAAAAGTATGACTTCCAAAGCATACTTTACATATAAAGGGGGAAGTTGGGAGGGGGCTTTTGAGGTGCATAAACAAGAAGAAAGTAAAGGGAAATGAAAGCAAAGATGTGAGGGATGGAGGTGGGCAGGTCCTTGAAGGTTAGGCAAAAAGCATGAACTTGATACAGCTCAAGTAGACAAGAGCTATGAGAGGGACCATAAAGCAAATACAAATCTTTTGAGTAAATTTTCTCTCTCTTCAATTCAAATTCTTTCCCTCCCCCTTCCCCCACCCCACCTAAGTTTCTTGATTCTGATAACAAAGATATGAATGGAGGATTTTAATGGCTGAAAAGAACACTGATCATATTAACTTCTAACTCTCCAACTCAAACCCTATCCGCAGTAGCAGATGTTTAAGCTATCATTTGATGAGTATCTGTATTCGGGACAGAAAGAACTACATATTGCAGTGAAGATGTTTTCAGTCTTTAAAGTCTTCATTAGCACTTACTTTTAGAAAAATGTCAATTTTTTCATCCCATAATGAAGCCAGTAGTTGAATATTTTCTTCCAAATAAGAATTACATAGCACTTGAAAATAAGGAAAATATTCATTTTACTGGATTCTGCCTAGTCAGTATTGTTCAGTTTTGTGACCTATGAAATGGAGTTCTTGTAAAGGTAACAAAACCATGAAAAACCCACTTTGCTACTGGCAAGCAAAGATAATTTCCCCTGAGTGGGGAATCACTGAACAACAGATTTCTGTGGAGTTTAAATTCCCATTTACCAAAAAAAAAAAAAAAATGATAACAAGATACAGAAGAGCAGTGCCACCTCACTTTGCATCTACAAATAGTTGGTTCCATTACTGCTACTCCTGCTCCTAGTTCACCCAATATGTAACAAATAGACTGCCAGGAGTCTGGTCAAGCACATGTGTGGAGGCCGGCTGGGCCGTACTCCACCTGGGCATGAGCGAGACCAGTAGCACTGTACCTGACCCCCGGGCCGGCAGCAGCAGGGCTCGGTGCCCCGGCAGGGCTCCTCCCTGCATGCTGGGTGCCAAAAGCTGCTCCCAGGGGCAGAGGCACAGCCTGTTCGATGTAGCACCCCCTTTCCTGCGGCCTGGCCAGCACTGCCTGGCTCTAAGCCGGCCTCCACACATGCTGTAATTTCAGAACTGTGTAATGAATATCAAAACTGCCAATATTATGTCACTTCTCTCTGCTACTTCTTGGAAAAATCTATAAGACGACGACAACCACGGCACTGAGGCTGTTCACAATGAAGGAAAACCCCAACAAATAGAGACTAGGGAAGTGAGCAGAAAAGAATAACCCTCCCTTCCCCTCTGTGATCCTTCCAAGAGGGTCTGTGGGTAAGGTGGTTAAAACACAATCTCCTTCCCCCTTCCTGCTAGTTAGAGAAGCAGGTTTATAAATGATCATATTTACAAGCCAAAAGCTTGAAAAGAAAGGTGCTGAGACCAGCAACTGCATGATGGAGGAATTCCAGCAGCTATGTAGTAAGGCTATGCCTCTTAAGAAGACTGTGCCCTGGTACTTGGCTGATAGGTCCAGGACTTCCTACTCCATTGTATTACCACCTGACTAGTAAAAGCCTACTAAGCGTTTCAAGCTGAGAAAAGAAAGCCAGTGCAAAACTGTTTTACATATTAGTCACTGTGACAGTTGAAATTAGAAGGCCACTTTCTTTTTCTACATCCAATGCAGAATCTGTGAGAAATGAAAACATTCTCCTGATCTTTACCTATTGCTTCCACAGAAGTAAGCAAAATAACAAATAAATGTCAGGTGAAGTACAAGACTAATTTTAAGTCATTCTTTTACAAGGAAGATCCATCCAAATAGAGTCCTTCCCAAGTGGTCCTACTCTTCCCAGCAAGTAAACATTATAATTACCATCTCTGAATTGCTGCTTTACTGTAAAAAATAACCAGGTACTGTCACTGTGTGGTTTCATGTTTAATGTGTTGCGACATTAAGATTGCTCACTTTACAACTGAGATTTTTTTCCCCTTAATAGTCAGCCCAGCAAACTTAGCCTAGGATCAGAAAAAAAAAAATAAAGCTCTTTTTGGCCTAT